ATAAGCTCTCCGTGAATGTAACTTCGTATCCGAGCATTCCTTTATCGGAGTAGCGGAAGCCGTTATCGCCTCGCTGCAGATAAAAGCATAGTATTTGATAGACTTAGTTGCGAGATTCGTTAGAAAGGGTGTGACTATTTAATAAGCGTCGTATTGCGCACGGCCGCGGCTCACTCTTTCGCAATCGCTCGATTCGCGATTTAGAGAGAAAAATCACTGTTTACTCTCTACATAGACAGTATTTACATACTACTGCCTCGCGAATGTGCACGCGATACCGCCGACACTTGTGCAACAAAGTTGCACTATTTAACCCCGGATTACTAAACCCTGGTCTATAAAATTGAAAAGAAAATAAGCAGACAGACGTCTTCATTTTAAAAGAAAATGCTTTGAGATGCATATCGCATTCGATTAGAACATTTAACTAATTAATTAACGCGCGAAAATAAATTTGTAACAAAACAAATTTGCTTGTTTGTACATCTATATTGGTGTTTCTGAAGTTCTTTGAATTCCACGAAGAATCAATCGGAATGTTGTGGTCAAAAGTAAATTAAAAATAATAAAAAATTGAAAGGTAGAAATCGAAGTACGGAGCAGAGATAAGAGTATTCTGCCGATACGTAAACGATTATTCAATTCGCAAACGGCATTCCGATCTCGTACCAAATGCGGCTGGCCGGCCAGTCGATCGACGGTGAGTCGTTTCTTTCACCGCGATTCACAAAATCAATTAAAGGTCGTTAACCATTACTCGGAACGCACGTAGCTACGTTTTTCGGTGCTTTTACTTCATGTCAGCATGTCGCATCATTTTAAAGATATATCGGTAGGTTCTGCCTTAAGCAGCGATAAGAAATCTCCGCCAAGATAGAATTGCAAAATACTCAATACGCAGAAATGTTTACTACTTTACAACAAGTTGGCATAAATGATTCTTTTAATCAATAAAAGCTACCAATTATTAAAATTACTAAACAGATTATTGACGCGATAAACAATTTTCAGCTTTAAATTTTTAATTTGAAAATGAAAGAAAACTACAAGTGATCAGTAAAGATACAAATCAGTGATATAAAGTACATTTGATATATTTTACAAAAATATTAAAAATATTAAAAAATTCTTACATGTCATTTTTATTCTTTGTTCTTTTTGTCTCACCGCGCGGATATGCCTTAAATAATTATTAAATAAATATTGATCTAATTATATCATAGTCTAATAGATTCTGGCAGAGCGATCTTATAATTCACGCGGACCACACAACGTGCGCGTAAGGAACAAATATCGTTTTATCAATGAAAACATTTGACCTTCCGATTTTCACAAAATAACTTAGAATCACACAGGTAAGATACTTTTGTTACGATAGAATATTTTTCTCAAAGCACGAGGAACCAGTCAGAAGATCGACCGTTAACGGTCGAAATTCTGCTACAAATTCAGCAGTAAAATCCAACAAACGGATGAATGGTTGCCATGACTATTCTATTGTAACGCTTTATCGTCGGCATTCTGTGATGAAGTTTAGGGAATGATCTGAAGTTGAAAATCGAAATGGAAGTTCGAGGTTGAAGCCTGAGCAAAGAAACAACGATCACAAACGGTACTCCTAAAGGATACCAAGCAGGTACCTTTACTTCAACCTGACACCTGATTATTAAATGGCTTCTCGAATGGCAGGTACACCAAATCTTAAATCGTTCTGAATTTCACCTGGTCCTATGGTGCTGGTGCTAAGTCGTAAATTGTTGTAAGTTGTAAGTTGGCACGCATTTACAACGACCGACTGCTGTGATATCGGCAGTTGGATGTATCGTGACAAGCATATAAATATAGTAACAAAAATTTTGAAATCTGCAAGAAAATGCACATTAACAAAAAAGTTATTAGCAAGACAAATAATAAATTTTTATTAAATAAAAAAGAAAAATATCTATTATTCTTTCGTAACAAAAATAAAAATACTTGAAGATTACTCTGAAATTATTTAATTGTAAGTTTATAAAATTTTACATTTAAATAAAAATTGTTCTGAAATCAAATGAAAGCAGAAACGATGATAATGAAACGGCGAAATAAAAATCAAACTGCGGTAGGTAGCTCAGGCATAACAAAAGATCATTTAATGGTATTGTTGCACGATGCAGTATGAATAAGGAATGCTTCCAAATAATATCAGGTATCGTTTATCCGCGGATCGAATTCGTAGCACGTATTCGGCTCAACGATTCGGTCTTTCGGAGCATTCGCGTGCGCCGAGAAGTATTCGCTGAAGAAAGCGCGTAATTATCCGTGCAATCGCGCAAAGCCAGTTAGTTTCCACCCTTGACAAAGATCCAAAGACCCGCCCGGATCATCGAAAAGTCCTGGCCAAATACAGAGTATCGATTTGCCGCGTAAAAGAGCGCATCTGATGATGCTCGGCACGCTGGTTGGCTGAGCTTTTTTGATCGCACGGAAGACAATGAGAATTCCTATCGCAAAAATGACGTTTGCCTTAAAGAAAATGCTTTAATTTTAATTTTGACAAAAATGCAATTTATCTTGTGATAAAATAGGAAAGATGTGTGTAAAATTCAAGAAAAAATTATAAAGAAATTTCAAGTGTAATATCTACTATAAAAAATTAAATAATTAAGTCTGACGAAATATCTAACAAAAGGGAATGAAAATAAAGTAATTACAATAATAATGACAAACTTTGAATTAAAGTGCTATGCACATAACGACAGTTTAATTTTCCATCAGAACTCAAAAAAACGAGCGAAATTTTTCTTCGCCGAAATTGAAACCATGCCGCAAGCAAGCTGACTGCAAAAACATGGTGGCAAGAAGAGCTAATCGCGGACCGCCACCGATGCGACCGATTATTATTTTTGCGTGAGCCGATGAGCCGTGGCGAGCAACGCGAGCAGCCAAAAGGGCAAGGAATGCCCAAGGTATTTATTACGGCACCTTAACTTTCTCGTGTAATTCACTTGCGCAGCACAAAATAGACTGTAAACACGCCCTTTTGCCGGCTCAACGACGTCTATGACGGTAGTCCGTCTTATCGAGCTCGCGCCATTGTTCGCCATTACTGTGCCGTTAAATCGTCCTTCCACGATTTTTTGCACCCATAGAATACACCCTCGGGCGTCTGTTTAGACCTCGTTCAGTTCCGCGCTTCAAGACGAGACGGTCGGAAATTAGTTTTGACGCCTCGTGAATCAGTCATCGTATCAATCTAGCTGATTCGTTAATTGATCCTTCAGTTTCTTGCCATTCTGCATGATTTTGGAAGTGTATTTAAATGACGGTATATAATTTTTATTTTTTTCTAATAATCAAACTGTTGTGAAATGAAATAACAAGGACTTACAATGAAGTTACAATGAAGATTATAATAAACAAATATTAAATTTTAATTTAAAAAACTAAACCTCATAAATCTACTATCCATAAATACTCAAAGAGAATATTGGAGCAGCAAAGCGAACAGGCGCGCTTGTTCGCCGAAAAATATGTCGAAGACAGAATTCCCCGGAGTGTCAATGAGATGAGTGCCAATATATCGCGTAACACGTGAACTCAGTGGAATAGACGGAGTTCAAGCACTCTTCTTCCAGTTCTTTTTTACAGCGCGAGCAAAGCCATCGCGTGCAAAACGGTTTTAAATAAAAATAACATCCCCTTGTCTTCTAAGCGCACTATGTGCGTAGACGATGACGCGGTTTATACAATACGTTCTGGGAGGTTGGCGCCACATTGTGATGCTTTCAACCCAGACGCGACACTGACCTTCTAGTCACTTATGCAATCAGGAAGACTCATCGAACGTAAAACGCGCGGTTAACGTTATGGGAACGTCCATAAATCGTGGTGCTGTAGAGCGAACGTGAGGCGGATTTTTCGAAACTCGATGCACACCCACTCTCTAGAATGGTCAACATGGTCAGCTCTGACCTGCGCGATACACAAAAGATATATCACCCACAATAGTAGCAATGAACAAAGAACAGTGACGAAATATCAAATAATTTATATTTTCTGCACAAAATATGAATGAAATATCTTCCGTATAATCTTGTAAGTAATTCGTCAATCTTTGTATATGTATATTTAATCTTTGTTTACATATTTACATATTCTTAATGAAACATATGAACATTAAATATGAACAACAACGAGTTAGTGAGCATGTATGAATTAAATAGCATTTATTCATCATTCAAGTAAAATTAATTGAAAAATACGCGTAAGGATAAATTTTAAATAAATTTTGATCTCAAGTAAATTAAAGAGTAAATTTTAAATTAACAAATAAAAATAAAATTTATCAAATTTATTTTGTAACATGATGACTCGATGATACTCGATAAATCATTCTCGATCTCGCTGAGAAACGAGAATACAAAACCGACAACTGTGTTCGTGGAAAGGAATGCGACTCTTCCCTTAACGGACATATCCCAATGATCCTTTCAACAAATCGAGCAAACCAAATTGACGGAACTCGCTCTCTTCAAATTGACTGTTTGCCCGGTTTATCGCACGGACTCGTTTTACCTTTCATTATACGCGCGATTCCATCGCAAATCAGCACGCTCGTCGCTAAAATTAAGTGAATAACATTATTCGAATTTATATCGAGAAGATGTTAAAACTACATTCGGCGGAATTTTTGCGAATATCTCTTTACGGTTCTCATCCATTATCTGCCAGGATAATAAATTCTGTCCGTGTCGTGCTTTATGAATATTGCATAATAAATTAAGCGCTGAATATTAAATTAATATATTTCCTTTGGCTGTTAAATTTAAAAACTAACGTTAGTAATAAAATTTAAATAAAAAATTAAATTTCATACAAAATTTTTTACCGTATTAATTATACTCTAAATTCTAAATGTTATAGCTACTCAATAATTGCGAAATAACGTCGGAATTATTAAGAAAATTAATCTGTAATAAGTAAGCAAGTTAGCAAGTTGTTTATAGAAATTATAGTTCTACAAGTTTTATTTTATATTTATTTATTGTGTATTTATTTTTTACGGTCTAATTTTTGACAATTTCTAGTATCCTAAACGGATGTTTATACAAGTATCTCGAAGAATGTGCAAAGACAGTGTTATTCTTGGCTGGCTCTGCCAGATGCGCATTCCTCAAGGTTTACCTGCTCCTTTGTGTCAAGGGTTAACCGGTGCAAAACATTCATCGGCGATAATTTCAGCAAACTCTATTAAGTACGAAAGATCGGCGGCGAATGGGTGGCCTCGGTGCGTGATACCTGATATAGCTGTTTCGATATTCTTGGCTGAAACAAATATCTCGAGTGAATACCGATAGAAATTAATTATAGATACTTTACTCACAGCGACAATTTAATTTCGATCCATATATAATATTTACATATTTCATATTTTTGACATTTTATGCTCAGGTAATTCTATTGTTTAGCCGAAAAGAAATTAATTATTACAAATTTTTCCATTAAGATAAACTCATTTTTTCTCTGCCAACTTTGTCAAATTGATTTTGATATTCAATTACTCTCCAAATAATTTATTTTTTGAAGTAATATTTTCTTCTTTACGGCGTCAACTCCGCCTGCTTTTTTTTATCCTTTACAATCCTTGTGTCAAAGGTCAGGCGACGGGATAGTTTCGTACGTACACGCTAATTTTCGTGATATTCCATTAAAGCGCGCGATCGTATTTCCCACAGGGGCTTGTATAAGGCCCCACCATTGGTGGAGAATCGGCGAAGCGCCATGGCGCAACGAACCGACGAAGAAGCATCCCGGTCCGGACCCGTCATCCGAGATCGTGGGTTCTCAGTCTCCGCCACAGTCCAATTCCAAGCAATTCCTGTCCCATACCATCCATCCCTCCACCATGTTCCGTCTCGACTAATAATGCCGCACAACACCTATCCGGTTGCCGCACGGCGAACCTGCACAAGACACAGGTGGATATCTTTATAAATGAACATCTCCGATAATTAAAGAAATCCCGCGCGAAGATAAGTTAAATTTATCAGATGCTTTAATGGAAAGGCAACGCCGCGATTTCGGAAAAAAAAAGAACGGACATCTACAGTGAAAATCCATTTTCGACATTTTTGGGATGAAACTCAAAGCGGGGTAATTCAATCGTCAACGGGAATCTCGTTTGTATAAAAATAGTTGGAAATGATATGGAAAGATGCGTATCGTTCAAAATAAAGCACTTCGGTTCTCGAGTAATGCGAATAAAGTCCCGTGTTGGTGCGTGACCGAACTTCACGACTCTGAGGCGACGTTATGCGTCTTCTAGGGGCGTCGGCGGTCAATTAGAAAAAAAAAGAAGATTATTTCGTTAGTTAAACACTAATTAGACCGAAACGGCAGTTCACTTTGCGGCCGCTCGGTATGACGGCGGTCTTAATCTTGGCGAATGAAGTAAGGGCGTCGGGGGACGTTGATTTGCCGAATTGATCCGGGCTCGTGCCTCAACTGCCGTCTCTTTCCTCGGTGCTCATTCATACCCGCAATTAATGGTCATCTACATAGAAGCTTAAATTTATTGCTAATTACTCGCACGTACAGACACTTTACGACTTGTCTATTAATGCAAACGTCGTATATCTCCAGTTTTTCTACCGATGCGTTATATTTAGCAGCTGTGAAAACGCTTGTTACTATGTATAGAATAGCGTTCGATGACACGCAAGAACGCCGCGACTTGCGCAATAAGAATTGTTAAGAAATTTCAATTAAAATATTTTAATATAGCGTTTATTTAAAAAATTAACGCGCGCATCCTGATAAAATATTATAATTCTAGATCTCTGACATCTTACAAAATATACAATTAGCTTGTAACATTTAAGACGCAAATTTTCTTAAACAAATGGTCTTACCATTATTGTCACTTTTTTATCTTTTCATTAACTTAGCATATAAAAAGCTTTATCGGATAGAAAGATTTTTTCAAATGATTTTGATAAATAGTATATACAGAAAAAAGTTTGTATATTGATTTTGATCACGAAGCATAGACGAAAAAAATCTTTGTAATGTATTTTCTCGATAGCATTTTACTTATCATAGATAGTACTCACAACAGACTCGTCACACTGATCTCTGCTTCCCAGGCTCCATAAATTCTTCTAAGATTGTTGCAGCTGATATTTGTTTTGTAAGCTCGCACGAAAATGTGACTGATATATGTGTAACTGCATCGCGATCGGCGTTGCATCTGAACAACACTGGAAATAAGTCTTGAATGGATGGAAACGAGCATACACGAGGTCAGAGGCTACACGATAGTAATGACGTCACTTTTTCGAGGACTCGTCAATGTTCATTTCTCTTCTTTATCGCGACATTATCGCGAGAGAAAAACTAGCACGGAGGTCCGCTGTCTCCGCTGTCGGAATGTATTTCAGCTGCATGCGTATATCGACAAGCAACAAAAATATGGTCTAACCAATATTGACAAATTGGTAATCGCCCTGAGAGAATGTGGAAATGTAGATGCGTGTCGGCAAAATATTTCACGGACATCGAGATGTAAATCTTTTAACGTGGAATTGAATTGAATATTCAGATTAGTTAAATATGCAAAATTGTGCTGCAGCAAAACATTTCTATTAATTAACTTCTTTTTTACACTGAGTGTTTTTCCTAGATGTACAAGATGTCCCTGAAATAGGCCGCTAAACTTTCAAAAACATATTCTACTCACCTTGAAGACGAAAAAACATCACACCTCACGATTATAATTGCGGAAACGCATTGTTTCTAAACTATAGGCTTTTTTTATCCGCGCCAGAATTTTGCACAAATGCTTTTGCTCACATTAACTTGAAAATAGACAACATTATTTCGTTTCAAAGAAACTGAAACGCAATCGTATGCGCTCCGATTCGCGCGGATTTTATCAATGCGATGACTAGTGTCATCGTCTTAGGTCGTGTTTAAAGATTAACTTCAATCGTTTGTCGACCGCAAAAAGTATGATCCTTGTGACATTATCGTCGTCACAGCGTGGAATTATACGATTAGGTAGCGTGCACAACACTTAGTATTTGCACAAATGAAAATATATGTATTCATTTACGTTCTGCCAAATCTTCAACATTCAAAATGTGTATTATCGCTCAGGGGAAGTTGAATAATTCTGATAAGATGAATGAAGTAGAAACACGAGAGCGAACTGCAGATTATTAGTAAAATCAATATCGAGACATGCCAGGCAATGTAAACTATATGCGCGAATCGCTTCAATTACAGAAACGATAATTATTTAATATCGGCATATCCCGCCATATATCTGCCACGTTAAGCGTGGCGTTACAAACTTTCTGTCTTTTTCTCGCGACGAATGTCATTAGGTGTCACAATGTTGCATCAAACACAATGATTTGTGCGCGCCACTCGGAAAGATGCCGTGCTTCCATCGCCGCGGAACGTGTTCACGCTATCGAGCCTATCGAGTAATACCGGGTGTCCCGTTGCGAAAACGCACGATCACTCGAGGCAATTCTTTTGATACTTCGATCCTCGAGGCAGTTAAATTCCGAATAAAAATTTAAAGTAAATTCTATAAAAGACTAGCTTGTGTCATCACTTGCATACCTAAGACTTAATAAAAATCCTCACATTTACATTTGTTTCCGATTACCATTTTGGAAATATTTTTAACCTCTCATTCTTTAAATTGTTACCTTTTCTAGGAAACGTGTATCTTTCCAAAGTTTCTAGCTAAAATTTTCTAAAAATATTTTTGTAATAATAATCATTTTTTATCGAAGGAGAGACGTATCCACCCGCATCCGTATATGTAAATGTATCGTACGTTTATGCTACACCGAGCGCCGATAAATAAATGAAGGAGTTCAGCGATAGAAAATTTCCAAAATGAAAGACCGAAATCAATCTTGCACATGAAAGTCTTCGCTAGACGACATTGTCAAATAGTGTTGCGTAGAAATTGAAGGAAAGATCTATTTGTCAATGCAAGCTTTCTATCTGAATTACTGCGATTTTTCAGATTCGATTTTTGCCATCTTTAATTAAACTTTTTCACACGGCAGCTCTTTATATGTGTTTAACAATGAACAATTTTGCATTTTTCAGAACATGGCGACAGTTACTAATTCGATTTCATACACGGTGTATAGACTCATGCAGGCAGAACGAAGAGACTTCCCTCGTTCAAAGGAAAGAGACGACGGCGACGCCAAAGCAGCAGGAGAAGAAGAAGCGAAGGATGGGCTCGTCAGGCGTATCGTAAAAGGTGGGTAAGCACCGTCCGGAACATTCATGCTCTAGTGAAATTAAATACTAGCGAGAAAGTCCGATGCGGGGCCGCCTCGCGGTCATTTAAACCGTCCAAAGGCGAATATATTCGTCGAGTCAAACATTTCTCTAGCAGCATAAATCTCGAATGAGACGTCTAGTGATCTAGCATGTACGTCTCGTAAGAAGCGAAATCGTCTTTATTGCGAAATCGTCTTGGAAAAAAACATCGCAAAATAGATAGCGAAGCTGTAAGAACATTGCGTCTGCTAAAACCATGCAAATTCGAACAATTTTACATAAATCAAGAGATCACAATTTTACATAAATCAATGTGATTTTTCTGTTATTTGATTCTTAAATCAAAGTATAAAAAGTAACAGAGAATGGAGACAGACGTGGTTTTCGTGAATTTACATACATTTCTTAGTTCGATAAACTTTATGATAAATAATTACAAAATTAATTATAAAAACTAAAAATCACTCATATTATTTGAGAAATAAAATTATTGATGACAAAAGTCAAACGTAACACAAGGTTACAAAATTTAAGCGTATCGTAAATTTCAATCTGATTCGATGCGAGGAGTTATTTACAATGAATGAAGGTGCGTAAAGACGGTTGATGATAGCGAGATACGATGGCGAAAAATTGAACGATTACGTAATTGAAGGTCTGAGCGAGTCAGGCGATTCCACTTTTTTTTCGACAAAATGAGTTATTTACTACTACGTGTTGGGTGAATGATGGCTCATCAATTGAAGTAAAAAACAGATATACACGGATAACTATATTGCGAAAGAAAAGAAAATCGAAAATAATCGCGAAGATTACTTTAATCGCGAGAATCATTTAAGTCGGCAATATTATGTTTCCATTTTACAATTAAAATTTATCATAATACAATGAAAATAATACAATTATAAAAACATTTCCATTATTTGCTTCTCTATTAAAAGAAAACAAAGTAATTGATCACATTTCAAAGTCTTAAATTTGTTTTACTATATTTTATTTTCAAAATTTATAAGAATAGTGCTTTTTTAAAGGCTCTCTTCTGGCTCTCCTCATATTTAAAAAACATTGTAGAAGTCATTCATATTTACAATTTGACTGATTCATTCAAGTTATCAAATTGCCGCAGGAAATTCAGAAAATTAGTCAAGGTTTTCATCCGTCGCTTGATAAAGTGGGCCTCCGTGTTCGTCTTTAATTTCAATGTCGGAAATGATTAATGCAAAAAAATGCATAAAATAATCGTAGACACTTGGAATTAGATTCCTTAAACGCTCGTATAGTCACAAATTGGCCTCTCCGACAAACATGATGGGTTTATAAAATTTCTGGCGATAAGGAAAACTTTTAGATAGCTTTGTAAAATAAATGGTTTTTTAAAAGCAATTCCCGAAGGAAACAAAATTTAAATCGTCAACTCGAAACGAATCGCTACGCTACTACCGTTGCAGTATACCTACCTGTTCGACTCTTTGAACTTCTTCTCGAACAGGTACGAGCGTCGTAGGAATTTCATTGAACTTTAAAAGCAGCACGTTTCCATCAATATCCAATTTCAATTCATATATTGAATATACTAGTTGGAAATCGTTTAATCTCGCCGAAAAATTTCTAATTTTACTTCCTTGCGAAGATAACCGATTGTTGTTGACAACTGTATAATCAGACACATAAGTAATTCATCATTTTATTTTATTTAAGCATACTCAACATTAAGTGATTAACTGATGATTAACTGATTCAGGAATGCAGATTTATCTGAACAGGGAAAAACTGCTCCGATAAACTTAATTTACATATTTGCGTGCATATGTATCTTCTACATTCTCATCCTCATCGTCACATTACATTACTTCATACTTACACTAATTACAAAACAAATAATATGAAACAGAGCTAAAATGACCACTTCAAAAAATTAAAAGCGGTCTTTCCTACATTATTTTCGCATGGCTGAAGAAATACAATCAAATTAAATTAAAATTATCACATTAAACTCTCGTTATGAAAATTTCTTTTCAAATAAATTATTATAGAGAAAGTTTATTTAATCTCGCGGCAACGTAATGGAAAAAACTTATTTCATATTTTCGTATTCAATTTATTTCATATACTTTACGGTCATTATTGGCGTCTCGATCGTCTCGTGACAACGCAATCGTCTCGTGTGCACAATGCATTCGTGTCAAATGCGCATGTAATACCCTAACTTATACACAAGGCATATCCGGTCGCGGAATCGCAACCGACCGTAATCCCGTAACAACGTGCGTATCATCGCGTACGCATTGTGTAGTAAAAACGTAGTACGCGTAAACGAGGCGAAACTCCACACGACGTTTCGTGCACCAAGGACATTCTAGCTCCTACGGTCTGTGCTCTCACTATCTTTCTCTACTTCTTTTCGCTCTCTTTCTCTCTCTCCCTCTCTTTTTCTCCTGCCACAACTGATTGCTTCAAATTTTTCAAACCTTGGTTATACCTGCATACAAAGAATTTCTAACATAACAATGACAAAAAAAAAGTAGAAAAGTTTAATTAGTTCGTTAATACGTGAAGGATTTATGTGACGTCGTCATTCCTTTTGTCGAATACTTTTAGTATTTTGGAGTCTATTTTTTCTAAAGGTGTATGAATTTTGATAAAAGTTAACAGACTGGTAATAATTTTGGAATTACAATTGCTTTAAAATAGAAAGCAACAAAGTTGAAACATTTTAAAATCTAATTATAGAAAATTTATCTTAAAAATGTCTTGATGTTAACAAAAAGATCATTGGATAACAGATTATCAGATAACATCAAGATATTTCAGGTTGAAAACTAAACCTTGCAAAGAAAGAATGTAAGATAATTTTATCAAGAAGAAATAACTTAAGGTATTCAAAAAAGAAATACCAATCAAAATTATATATATATATTTTTTTTTATACAATTATTACTGTCTTCAAGTTATATTTTTATTTATAAAAGCTGACAAAAGCGTTCAAAAAGACCACTCGAAACTTCTCTATGTTAGTAACTTGAACAGAAAGGAATTTTGCTTGTTAAGCGAATTTCTTCGAAAAGAGGACGAAAACATCATTAAAGCCCAACAGTAATCCTTTTTTTTTCAACTAAAAATATCTTCCGTAGTTATCTAACTATAATATTATCTAAACATACATTTATTTTTTCAATTATTATTTTATATTAGAAAATAATCATTAGAACATGATTTTTAATTGAAAAATATGACTTCACCAATCAACTTTATAAATTACAAATACAAAAATACATGTCATGTAATATCTCATTCTCTCTATCACTTTTACTTGATTTTGAAAAAAAATATATCGATATTTAAGGATTCTAACGACGTTACCTAAAAAATCTTTAGAAAGTATTCTCCTTGATTATTTGGATTTTCATATTAAAACGATGGCAAAAAGCGAGCTCACCGAGAGCTGGATAAGAAGAAAGCCTCGTCGGCGAGGAGCAACGTGGAAGAGCTCCGGTGTCTCGGATGAACGAATGAAAGCGAATAGGACCGAAGTCGACCGAGCTGTTTCGCTCTTTCAGTGTCTGGTCGTGCAAACGAGGCCCAAGGCCGGCAGAATCGAGCGAGAGAGTACGCAAAAATATGATATTTAACTTTCTCACGAAGCAAATACGTAACTTTGCGAATATTTCTATTGCGACGCTCGAAAGCATCATGCAAGAAGCGCAAGGGTTAATCGTGAATCGACTATAAAAATCTTCTAAGTCTTCAGGAGACATAAATAACCATTCAACAAGTTTCTAATTGAGTTGTATAAGATTTGATATTTATCATTTTTGGAGCATTTGGAACAATTTTATAACGTAAAGAGAAATTTTTGAGAAAGAAAGTTTTATCTCTTTGATAAAAGATTATCGAAAATACATAAGCGAATTAAATAATTAAAATCTATACATTGATTTAACGTCATTCTGAACTACTTAATATTATTTCGCTTGCCACCAGGAAAGCGTCAGCAACAGGTTGTTATGTATTAACAGCTCGTAAAACACCACGTAAACGGCAACGGTTTTCTTTGTCGCACTAATGCGAATTCAAAACTCTAACAAAAATCTTATAATTAAAATTTCGCAATTTTTAGTCTACATTTCTAACATTTCTAGTCTACTCTTTTCCCATCTCGAATGCATACATAATAATTAAAACAATGTACTTTTTTTAATAACAAATCTATAACCGCAATTAAAAGCTGGAATGATAGAGCCACGTGGTAAAATTACATTTTCGGCATGTGTAGTCGAAATCTTTAGGTGTCGAACGCGCGTGAAGCGCTTTACTCGTTGCGATTCCCCCGTCCTCCCCGCTGCACCGCCGTTTGCCGACTAAACCGGCGCCACGACCGTGCTGTTTCACTACCGCTCTCGTCACGGTGGGGGTTAAGTTCCACGTGACCGCTGGCGCCGTGGTAGTAGGAGAATCCGGCGCCGCATTGGTGGGGAAAGCCTCGGTTGCTTCGACGACCGTACAACCAGACTCGCCGGCATTCTGACCTGATAAGTTGGCAGTGTCGGATCGTGAGACAGTTGAGAGGGACCCTCGCGCTTCTCGCAGCTTGCTGGACATTTAAATCGACCGCAGGCAGACCGACGACTTGGAGCCCTGCTCTTCGAAAAATATAAGAAACTGTTTTTCCTCGTGCGTCGGTCTCACGAACAATTACTATTGTCTACCCCTGCGCCGAACGAACGCGTTCGCCTCCTCTCTCTCCCTCTCCTCTCACGACTCTCTCAAGAAACAGAACGGACTAGTTCGCGGATTCGACAAACGCGAATCGCACAACGATTAAGCGGCACCGGCCAGAAAACACACTATACGCTTATTTATTAGGATCATCCAAGTGTCCCGTCGACGTAAACGCATTATTTATTAACCTTTTTTGTGCTTTGGTTCGCGGAATAACACGTGTGGCGAACAAGCGTCGAGAAAGAAGAAGAAGGAGGGGTGATATTTCACGATTCGTCGCCGACCGAGAGAGTAAGAAAGAGATACTTTCCCGGAAAGGCAAAGAAAATGTGTAGTAGACTGAGTGTGAGAGACTGATCGAACGAACGAACGAACACGCCTCTCTCGCAGTCGCGATCGCGACTTGGCTCTGCACGCATACATACGCGTACACCACGCCATATCCGTGCGTAGTCGCCGTCGTTTCGCGAGTCGTCGCGAGGTGAGTGATCAGACGTTTCTGCCTCGTCCGTTGTGAAAAAGTGTTGAGTGCCCCTGCGTTCTTCCCTCTCTCTCTCTCTCTCTCTCTCTCTCTCTCTCTCTCTCTCTCTCTCTCTCTCTCTCTCTCTCGCTTTTTCTCTCTCTCTCTCTCTCTTTCTTTCTTTCTCTCTCTCTACTTTTGTCTCTATTTCGCCCGGAGATCTGTCGAGAGAGCAAGGCAAACGCTTCAGAACGGTGTTCTATCGAACGTGAGAAGAACCAAGGTTGAGATCGTCGCCAAACTCTCGTGATCTCATCATGGATCTTCTGTGCTGCGAAACCACGGAAACCGAGTGCCGAGCGTACGCGGATCCTGCCCTCCTCGGCGATGATCGTGTCCTGCAGAACCTCCTGCAGACAGAGGAGCGCTACGCACCGAGCTCATCCTATTTCGAGTGCGTGCAGAGGGACATCTCGCCGCTCATGCGCAAGATAGTCGCCGAATGGATGTTGGAGGTGAGCGACCGTTTCCGGTCCACGTGTCGTGCGATCGGGTGTAGCATTATTACGTCGCAGCCGGCCGTCGGAACGTATGGCCGGATCAGATTGTTCCGCGAAACGCCGGCGAGCTCGGTGCAAATAATAGTTTCATTCTGACAGCCACAAAGAGCCGACTTGGTAACAGGCGCTGAATATTCTCCAGCATAGTTTAACCGGTTCTCTTTATTTTTCTCTTAGTATTCATCGCATAATATTAAATGGCAATTCTTACCTAAGCGGTGAACTGTAATGTATAATCCGATCTAATTACTTTAACCGTGCTTCAGCTGTTTCCTTCTCTCTGTTTCTTTTATTCTTTTAAAAATAGAATCTACGAAACAGCAGAAAGAGACAATTGAATCACGGTTAAAATTGACAAAACAGACACAATTGTCGGCGAATGTGTGAGACATTATTAGGTATTTTTAACAAATGCCGATTACATGCGTGTCAAGACGGATGTGAAAATCTAAAAATAAAACTTGCGCTGATAATCTGCGGTCTGACAGGCTGACGCCGCGGCTTTTTTTTTATTGTAATAGTTTCATTTCTTTTATTATAAGAAAATTTTTGTTAAAAAATGAATAGGCAGAGTGTTGCCAAATATATTTATGTAGGAAGAAGGACACACTGTATTGTAAATCATGTCTCCTGCAGAGTTAAAGGCCTCGATCTAATGTTGTGGTTGACGTCCCGAATCTTATTCTTAAATATGACCGCGCGACGGTGATGATTTATTATTCGTCGATTTAAAACGTAATGAAAGTAACGCGCAGCTGATCAGTGCTCTTAAGAAGCAATGTAATTGAATCGATTTGGTTCCAAATATATATTTCCTGAGGACGGACGAAGGTCAAGTTTGCGAGATGTAAATCTCGGTTGTCTCGATATAACGTGTCTCAGGCGGTGTCTTTCTTTTTTGTAGATAAAACTTAAATTAGACATTCTCATGTAACGCACGATAATAAATGCGACGAATTTAATTTAATTTAATAAATTAATTAATAATCAAAGCTCGTTACGTCGCGTTGAACGTTCCAGTCGAATCCTGCGATGAGTATATATCAAGAATTAATATACATATATGCACGTTTGTGGTGTAATTGTAGAAACTATTTAAATTCCTTGTCTTAAGAGACTTTGCCTCGTGTCATATTACGCTGGCAATGCTTTTTGAATTATGCGTCATTGAAAGTTAATCAATTTTCGAATTAATTATTCTTTAAATATCAAAAAGTGAAACATCTCGTAGCTTTCACTTCAAGTAAATTATCTTTGTTTAATTGGAAAATCTGTATAATGATGCTGAAACTCTGTTGCATTGTCCTTTGAAACGAGACAGGAAATGAAGGCAAATTTAAAGGCGCTCGATGCAACTTCAATCTCTGTGAGCCGGCTGTTTCGTCAGCAAACCTGTTGCTGCGTTCTTTTGTCGCGGGAGCATTGTGATCCCAAGTCCATACTCGCGCAAAATTCTTTCTATCGGCGCACACGAAGCAAAATAAACATTCCTTATGTTATTGCACAATAATGCCTCTCGATCAACAATTTATCAAACGTGAAATATTCTCGGTACCGTAATACATCAAATTTAAATTTTCGTATTGATGTAAAGAACGAGGAATTTAATCACAGATTTTTTGAATACTCAAAATTTAAGATAAAAATATCACAAATAAGATTTCTCAACGTGATTACCCGGAATATTTTTTCTTTTTAACTGTAGATAATATCAGTCGTTTTTGTTCCAAGTAAAAAAATAAAAGTCGATATAAAAGTCTTGATATAAAATGATATTTAATTATTTATATAAAACTACTTAAGATGATATAAAATTGTGTATAAAAAGTGCACTTTGTACATATAATAATATTTTTTTGTGAATTTTTTGTTAATTATATGTTAAATTTTCGTAATTCAAAGTTAAATTTTTTCGCGAGATATATTACATTCGTCGTCAGTCGCAACTCAACGACCATTTTTGACATTTCACTGTCATTGAGCAGGAAATTCGGTCCGGCACCGATAAGATCCCCTCCGACTTACGTCACCGTGCGTTTCCAAAGCTGCCGATAAGGGAATTGTACTCGCGATTGACATCATTCACACCGCATTCTCTTCGATTAAAGAACAGAATCAGCAGGCGATCAGCCAAGTATCGCTACGTGCTATTGTGATTAATCTAAAGATGGCGATTTAAAAACCTATATTCGCACGCCGGTATCAAACAATAGGAGTATCGAATACTCACAAGCAATATGTAGTCTTGTTTGTTTTATTCTGAATCTCGCGATAACGATATTGCAATATTGCGACAGGCGTGCTATCGGGGGTCATTTGTGTCTAGTTTAATTACATTCATCTAAATTAAGCATATACTTTTAGAAAATTAGACATTAATTCCCATTAATTGCAATTTTGCGATTTCTCTTTGACGAATTAAATGACGATAGATTAGTGTTTGATTAGCGCAATATTCAGAACAATAGTGTCTTTTTATACAAACATTAAACACTTTATTTTCGGAAAACCCAAATAAAAAATAAAGAAGATTCGATGATAAAATTATCATCGGACGGATTGAAAGGTGGACGATCGACCATGTCGACGAATTAATTCCGCCTTTTCCGCCCTTCCTCTGCCCAGACTTCCTTCTTCATCGGATATGGTAATGAATTAATTCGCTTCCGGACCGGATTCCGTTTCGTTGTATTTCTTCGACATCGCTTTATTTCGCTCTCGTTTAAATCGGAGCTGAAACGATACGAGTATATCGCTCACGCTCCGATAGCGTGAGGCCGCTCGATATACGCTTGCTCAGTTCTCTGCCGGCAGAGAAGTCCAAATTGTTTTTCTTTGCCGTCGACGAGACGCCGTTCTCACGATGACGGTGATTAGGACGACGCCGACGATTACAATAACGACAAGGATAGCGATAAGTCGGGTTTTCTTTACGGCTCATCTTTGTTATTACGACTGGAAGCTCATCTGTCGTTCGATTAGTCGGACGATGTGATGCATATATAACAAGAATTATCATGATAGATATTATTATCAGAAATTCATAGCAGCAATTGGAAACTAAAAATATGTATTAACATTATTTTATAATAGAAATAACGGTAATATAACGTACCGTAACATAATGTTATGACACAACGGAGCTTATTGAACGCGAATATCATACTGCAACAAGTTTTCGCAAACTTTGCTTGAATTGAAGTTGCGGTTACAACGTGACAAAATTTCGACGCGCAGTAGACTTTTGTTACAAAATAGCAGACTTCGAAAAAATGACTCTTTCATTGCGTCACACTTTCGCAGTTTCGTTGTATCGATTAGATCGGCATCGCTCTTCCTCGAGCATTTAATTTCTCTTGCGCCCCAGACATTCGATCGCAACAACCAAATTCACGCGATGACCTCGACGGCGTGTTTCATGCCGAAAGCGAGTCGCCCGGGTCGCGCACGCAGCTACATATGTGAATGTAATAGCACACATCGCGCTTCGAATTCTTACGCTCGCTCGTCGATCCAGCAAATGACAGGTCGTCATGCACATCGACGGAATGTATACGATTTTTCTAAGCCATTACAGTTAATTATACACGGTATCCTAAACTTATTTTTTTATTTTCTTTCTTTCGAAAGAATTCCAAACGGTCATTTGTCAATGATTCACAACTCGCAGTGTTGAAGCTTCAGATAAAAACGTAAGTTCTGTTAGAATTTTAAATTTCTAAAGAGAGGATATTTAAGTAAAATACAGGACGAGACATTTTACTCAATCACCATGTATATAAACTCTCACAAATGCCGCTGATAGCAAAGGTGTTGCATTGTCGGATTGCGGGCAATTGGACACCGGTTTGATATCAATTCCAAACTTTGTCCTCCGTCAAAATTCTGCATTCTATATCCTTCCTGAAGAAAGCTTGGACGGGCCTTGCTCGATTATTATCGAAACATGCGAGACAGACGTATATAACACCGGTCGCGATCAGCTTTATCGGCGGCAATTCTGCCTAATTGGCGCCGAACTTATAAGAGAGAGAGATCAGCGAGTTCGATAAAATTACGCAGATAAGAGCAATAAAATTTCGAGGCAGCTCATCTCAGAAAAAGATACCCGAAACATTCCCGGTATCAGTTTCCGAATTAAAAGTCGCGAATGTGAGATTTCAGCGTAAGAATTTTGGTAATTGCTTCACTTAGCGCTCGGTGAATTTTTTTTCGGCTTTCAAACGCCGTTCGCATTACAATTATCGTACTGTTCCTCTACATAAATATCTTCTTTAGCGCAAATCAGTAACGCAGCTCCCAAATATTAAAAGTAAAAATGTTTTAAATGTCAAAACGTGTTACAGATTATGACGCTATATTGTTAAAGAAATATTATATTGCCAAAATCCATATCGAAAAATTGCAAGAATCTCTTCTCTTTATGATTCGAGTCTTTATTACATCGCTCCTGCATTTTGTGAATTTGCCTCCGACGCTTGATCGGCTTTCGTCGATGTTTGAACAGATGCACGATAATCTCTCGAAGCGATTTCGTTGAAGAATACCATTGGAAAATATACGTCTCCTTTTTCTCTCTCAATTTTGGACGATTATTGGCCAATTGCGAAGGGAACAAGCGTGGAAAAGTTTAATAAGTCTTAGCAGCAGCGACTTCACCAAAATTTTTTCAATCCATTTGCTCCGCGGGCGAAGCCAATTTTACATACGATTTTATAGCGCGATTATTTTGTTAAGCCAGTGCTGCTGCTAATTGGTGGTGGCGGCGGGGTAATTACGAAAGGGTGCCTGCGTGCGTGCATGCATGCGTGAGGCCGCGAGGGCTGGCTGGCAATCGTTGGTCACGCTCAATAAGTTCCTCTCTCGCGCCTCGACGACGCACGATCACTCATAGCCGCTCGCTCTCGGCACCCCGAGGCGTCCGGGTAAAGTTAATTCGCGATCCTACCGCAATTCAGCGGGTCCCCGAAACTTCAAAGACGCCCCGACCATTGCGATTTATGTAAACACGCAATAATAAACATGCGGTAATAAACGTGATAACGAAAACGCGATTTATCCCGTTGTTACGATTGCTGCGTTGATGCACGCGATAAATTATTGATGAAGCACTGAGAATTTCTTTACTCTTGATTTACTTGATCTGATGGAGAGATCATCCTAGAAATATTTTTAAGAACCGAATATAATTTTATTGTTGCAAAATGCAACTAATTATTTTTATAATGGACGATTCTTCTGAAATAAAAAAACATTCTATTATTATATAGTTAACTTTTCTTTCATTAGTTTATTTTTCAAAAAATTTTATCTGATAAAAGATTCCAAAGCCGAAGTTCCTCGACCTATGGCCAAGGCGATCGACCCGCATGGTGAGTGTCGTGCTAGTTAAAATACGATAGGAGGAAATCCGGTACGATATCCGTGCTTACGCCTATGTTAGTGCAGATGATTATTGTATGAATATTCGTTTCTTCCAACGCATTTACAAATCTTTTATATATTCAATATTGCAAGAACGTGTAGATGAAAAAACTTAAGAATTTTCAAAAATGGAATCCAAGAGTTCCAATCATAGATCAATCGGATCCTTTTAATTGCATTGTACGAATTTTTTGCTAACTAGAATCATATGTAGAAATACATGAAATTAATATAAAAAAATTGATTGAACGATAAACTTGAGCAATTAAAAAAAGTTGTATCAATATTATTTTTTTAAGATTATTGCATTTTTAAATTGATATTAAGCGACCCACGAAATCGCGAAGAGAGATTTCGGCTGCTATTAATCAATCCACTTATAATCTCTGCTTCGCGTATATACGTTCGATATTTTTACTAGCTACTCGACGTATTACGTTCTGCAGTGTAACTCGCATGATTCGCCGGCGAGCTAAATTTGCATCATGAGTCGCGAGTATTCGGGCGTTATCGCGGTGCTTCTCTCCGATCATGCGACCTTGAAACGATCTCATCGTTCGCCTTATCAACGCGACGTGTTTGTTACATTGATGCACATCTCTACGTCGCCCGTCATCCTGTCTCGTTTGTTGCAGGTATGCGAGGAGCAGAAGTGCCAGGACGAAGTCTTTCCTCTGTCGATGAATTACGTCGACAGGTTCCTCTCGATCTGCCCGATCAGGAAGTCGCAGCTGCAGCTGCTCGGAACGGCTTGTCTGCTGCTAGCATCGAAGCTGCGCGAGACGTCGCCGCTCACAGCTGAAGTCCTTGTTTTCTACACCGATAATTCCATCACTCTTGACGATCTTTGGGTAAGTGAACACAAAAGAGAGCAATCGAACGATAAATGTGTTCGACGACCGTCATTCATTTTCGCGATTGACAGCGATCCTTCGATACAATATTTTGTGCAACAAGCGTAGCGCTATTTATGAGTTACGTATTAACTTTTTGACCCATATAGACGTAAATCGCGACTTTATCTTATCGCGAAGTTCTGGTCTTTGCAACAAGCGAATTATCTAAAACTGACAATCAACAAAGGCTGACAATTATTAAATATTAATCAGACGACGTATAACGCAAAAAGTTTATTTTTTTTTTATTTTAATCCGACAAAAATATTCACGTATCTTTGTTTATATTTTGCTAACAACAAAGGCTTTCAAAATATATTACACAACTTGTAAACACGTTACGGATCGATCACGAATAATATCGCACGATTTTTTTGACATGTGCGAACGAATAAAATACACGCACGATACCGCTACTCGTACGTAGGTACTCCTTGCTCGCTGCATAATTCACCAAGCGTTTTACTAACGCAGCGAGAGATCAAGGAAACGGGCTACCGCGAGCTACATCGTTGCCGCGATCTCGAGAACGATCGACGCCAAGCGCGATTTTATTGCGTTGTGCGTGCAAAATGTGGAGTAACGACCGGCCCGGATAGAATGCACGACGAAATCGCATTTGCGATCGGCTATCCACGAATCTATATATGTATCTGGGCTGACGGCCGGCGAATTTAAACTCGTTCGTAGATCTCAAGGTGTTAGATAAATGTAGAGACAGATGCAAATTCTTCCACGCAGTCCTTAAGAACGAACGACGATATTCAAAGCGCCATAACGGTCTCCCATAAAACAGATGTCGTAAATATTAGTTAAAGATACTATTGACTCGTTTTTCTCTTCTTAATCCTGCTTTTACTAATCTTTAATAATAAAATTTTACGAGGCGCAGACGATATAACTATGTACAGGGTAATTTAGACTTATTGCACGCCTCTCTACGATATTTTGCAACATTTTCGTTCACATGTTAACTTGTTTGTATGATTTAAAAAAATGTAGATTTAAAAGTTTTTGTTAGAATTTTATCTATGCTATTGGAATTTTTAAAATGACTCATTGATTGCTTTTCCCAAAACGTTTAAATGACTTTTCTTACTATCAGAAATTTATTAGTACTATTAGGATTTTTAAAATGACTAATGTTTCGTTATGAACGCTTTTCCTATATTTCTTCAATATCTTTGTCTTTGTCATGCTGAGATATCGGAACGACTTAATGTTTCATAACAAATAAGTTTTTCTAATCGTCTAAAGATTATTTGTTTTTCTCTTCATCGATACTCATCTTAGCTGTTTACGTGATTTCTCTGCCTTCATATCAATATCATGAAACTTTTATGGGAGAAATTCGAGGCGCGATCGGTGACAGTTTGAATTAGGTTTCTGGATTCGTATGGAATCTGCTCAGTGTTGTTATTTTTTATACAGTCCGCCTTGACAGAACAAAACCACGATATTTGGGGTTCTTTAATTCCACATCGCGCGGGGTAGACGGGGGGGTTTTAGCTCACGTTTAAGAATAGAGCCTGCTGTTTGTTTTCGCGATCATTGACCTATCATACTTGGTATGTACATACTTGAGCCAGTATTGTCGAAAGACGACCGATTGTATGATAACATTCCTATGATTTGCAAGGAAAACAATTCGGTAATCCATAAATGCTATAAATTTTTGAATATTACAAAATGCGTACCGGCTCGAATTAAACGCGTCAAACAGTTTTGTAGAAACGGAAAAATCGGTCTGAGAATCCAAATTGAATCTTTAATTTCTGTAAAGATAATATTTTAAGTTTTAAGAGATAAGTAAAGAATGTCTGTTAAAAAGAAATTATTCCTTTACTGGCAAGAAGTTAAAAATATTAAACCTAATCAGCTGTAATAATTGTTGTGACGGTTTGAAGTAATCTATGAAATTATAAGATAAAAATTATTTATGTGAAATCTTGAAGAAAATGCGAGATTGTTTTATTCTTTAAAAAAAGAAAACAATTGTCCCTGAAAACCGGTTTCGGAGCTCACAAAGATTAAAGACGCATATTTTGTTAAATGCGTATCTCTCGATCGCAATATCTTCCTGTTTCCACGCTGTGAGAGCGGTCCGCAAGCGCACACATGTATCGTGTAAAGATGCAACGAAACGTCGCGTCGAATCGCATTTGTTAGGAGGCGAGCGATATGACTTGTCCAGGAGCGTAATTTTAAATGCGAGAAGATCCAATCGACGGTGACGTGGCTTCGTGGACTATTTTGGGCCATGCCAGGCGTTCTTTGGTTATAATGGGATGGCGATCGTCTCCCGTATCTCTCTTTCTCTTTGTCTCTCTCTCTCTCTCTCTCTTTCTCTGACGTCTCTTCGCCCGCCTCTTTCGCCCGCACTCTGACGGCGCACAACTTTTTTTGCGATTTCAAAAATTAAATATCCTTTCCTGCGCGTTCGTCTCGCACGTTTCGCAGAGAATCTTGCGCATGATTGGACACCGCCGTCGCAATCATTATCGCCATCAGCTAGACAGATGGAGCAATTAATCGTGCATTGATACTCTTTCATTGGAATAACCGTTTAAATACCGTCTTCCACGGTTTCTCAGATGTTAATTATATTGATGATGAAACAAACCCGATCGCGACATTCACGCCAGAAAGGTGTTTTAAGAAAAACAATTGGAATTTGTGAATGAATTCCGGATTTAAGTGGATTTTATTCAATCAGGATGAAAAGAGGCAAGTTTTTGAATATGTAGAATTTATTATACAAACAGTTGCCGTCTAATAAATATGCGAATCGTAATAAGCGAAATTTTGCGGAAGATACTTATTTATATCTCCGAATATTCCTATTTTATTTGAATGAACTTTAAAACGTATAAAATTGTTGATGAAAGACGTATTTTTACAAAATTTATTTCATAATTTAAATAAGTTTTAATTTCTCAACGTAGTAATAGATTTAACGATACGATAGTGATGTAGCATTAAATATGTATTAAGTGACAGATTACTAATTGAATAATCATTAATCAGATAAAATTTTTAAAAGGAAGATAAACCAACCGAATCACCCATTAAGACAACATTGTAAAATGTCATTACGTTTTACAGCAATCTTAAAAACTGTGATATTATTCAAGGAATTCGAAGTAAATTTAGACTGTGAATATAATTTGTAAGATCCACTTTGCATTTAAAATAAACCTTACAAAATTACAGATGTGATCATCTTACTTTAAATGCAGCACTTATCTATTTCTTTCTTCATTTTTTGGTTCTTAAAATTACAACTCACTCGGAGTTTTGGAAAATTGCTGTCACTTGAAAAGATTTCTGAATGACTTATCATTACCGTGTCACGTAACGCAAGGATTATTCTACCAGCTTTATCACGAATCATACTTTGTTACTCCGATCGCGCGCTCTTCGACGAAACGTGAGAATTACATCAGCGTTTATACTCCTCCGTTTTACGAGAGTACAAGGATATCTCGTCATCACTAGCGTCAGTAGCGTATCTACCGATCCCGACCTAAATCATCATTCCTATTCAAATCACAGACGCCGGTTTTTTGTGCGCCCATTGTACGTTTTCAGTCGCAAAAAATTGTGCGCGATATCGGCAATCTCATCCAATATTTCGTTTCTGATGACTTTCAAAAAATATATTGTAGTATTATTGACCTTGTAGTATAAAATTGCTCTCTTGCCGAACACAAAGAACTCTTCACTTCAATAAAAACGACAAGCGTTTTCGTTTTCATCGGATAGTTTCATATATGCGATATCGAAATACGAATTTTTCAAACATTTTAAATTATTCCCGAATTGATAGATGCTTATACAAATTTTTACTTCAGAAATTTTCACAACTTAAGCGATAAATATTCATACGCGTTTCCTCATTGACGCCCCACTTGTCCTGTTGCATTCTCGCCACGGTAAACTACGATAAACCGATCTCTTTGCAGAAATTATAATACCTCGCTTGGCTGCCGTGCGACGTGAAACGTAAGATGATAATATTCATGTCGAGTATTGGGTGTCAAATTACGCAGAGTCTAGCCGTCGTGGCGGAAAATGCGCTCTACGATCGCATAGCTTCGATTTCGATTAAAAAATTCAATTTAATTTAATTTTTTTGAATTTAAAAAGAAATATCCAACCCTCAAAGAAATATAATTTAAAGGGAACTCGTAAACTTACCTGCGAAAGAATCCTTAGACAGAAGGCATGCGGCGACGGCACATCTGAATCATTCTATACTCACAATCAGCGACGTACTCACGCTGTCACAGAAGAAGCATGTTTTCTCGCCTGCTGTTTAAAAAATTCCATTCATCAGTTCCTCTGCCCTTCGTCGAAAGGGTCGATTCCTGTCTCGTTCGACGACGGCCGTTTTCCCCGTAAATTGGATAGTTCCTGCAACTTGTGCAAACAAACCGGCCGACCGGCACGCCGTTGTCTACGTGAAGGGAACAGGCTTTGTGAATTTAAATGCTCTCTGGTCGCCCGAGACACGGTATGGTCGTCCGTATGCACGGTGACGAATTCCGTTTCTCTCACAAGGAACGCCGAAGAGCAAGAGAGAACGAGAGAAAGAGAGCGCAACGGCTCTACGTGCACCCGGGCAAACACGCGATAGCTCGAGCAAGCCTAAATAGATAACAGCTGATACGGGAAACGGTTATTTAATTTTCAGCGATGCTCTCTCAGCCTGACTTACGCCGCGCGCGGTGAGCCGCCTTTCGATTACGTGTGTGCGAACGTACGATTCTCGTTTAAACCGCCGTCAAGGTTACGCGAAATTCCTGCCTCGCCTACTACTGGCTTTTAAACGATCCTCAACCTTCTCAAGTTGCATCTCTGCTTCGTTACCGGTTGAGATACGTTCGCTTTTCTTTCCACGATGGACAAAAATTGAAAAAAGTATAAAATTTTGAGAAGTACTATTTTCTGCA